GTTGAAACTTCGTCATATGGGAGTTGTCAGTAGTAGTTTAGTCCGTAGGATCGGCCAAACCTCTCTGATCTATACATTTGTTAGGGTATTTGTAAAAATATCATTTCAATATTGTATATTACTTTTTAGTAGAGAGTAAAAGTAAAATGAATTGAAAATGAATCGTTAACTAGTAGTTAGTTGATAAATAGAGAAAAATATTCCTTGTTCAATTTCGCAATCAAAGTGGCTCGAAATAGTATGCTACTTCTCAAGCGAATAACTTATTCTGATGTCATTTCTTGAATATTCAGAAAAACAATGTTTGGTTTTAACAGGCCAACCAGGTTAACATATAATAGTTCCCTTTTTTGATTAATATTTTTAACATGACCTAATCATTCTATTATTTTATATATTAACTGATTGTGTTTCTTAATGTATGTAAAATTACAGATTGTAAAACACAGTGTGAACTTTCATAGTTTAACCGTCTTAAGAGAGTTATAAATTCTAGATCCTTCTAAGATATGCTATACTACTAATTTTTCACCTGAAAAGTGTCCATCTATATCCCATTTCAATGTATATTAATAAAAATTATACTTTTAGATATCAGTATAGGGTTGTGGAGATTGTTGAGTTTAGACCGGTATCATGAATGGATCAATGTTAGACCACCATTGAAAACCTGGAAGCACTGGGTGGCCGTTTCGTCGTAGTATGGGACACCTCCGCGGTGCGCATCCACGATTCCACATGTAGGACTCGAACCCAAGACCTTCGGTCTCACTCGTGAACACATAACCTCTAAACCACTAAGCCAGTATCCAACGGTGTTAATGTCAAACTTCAACCAATCAACGAAAATACACAACCGTCCACCATTATCTTCAGTGAGTAACTGCTTCACAACAGACACGGTTGAACTCCATTGGTCACGACTTCTCACTAGAACTCCAGGAAATCCATCTTGAAGCCTGTCATCACTGAGCACGTGATAATTATCAATATAGGGTTGTGGATATTGTCTTATATATATATAACACCATCATTATCTTGAAATTATAGTAAAGAAAATTAAATATCTTACTGGTTGTATTAGTATATCTATTTATTTGTTTGTTTAACTTCTATATACCTGGAATGAATTTCAACTGTGCAGCTGATAAAAGGATTATTCATTATGTAAACTATATCTTCATTTGAATAAATCAGAATTCGGCATTGATAAGCATCTTAAAAGTAATTTTATGATAGAAAGAAATGCAGGACAAGTGATGATAAATATCAAAGAAATGATTTTTTATCATTAACTGATATTACTTGACAAATAATTGGAACCCAGGACAGTTCCTGCACGATGTGTATTCGTAATCATACACTTAAGTTGGTAAAAAATGGATTACTAGAAAACTTTTGTTTTCGCCTCTAAAACATTGTCAGTATAACAATTGTCAGTATAGTTTTTGTGGATGTTATGACTTTATGTCCGGCTTTTTATCACGTGATTTATCCACCAATCAAAATACGACTTATACAATCTTCGCACTATGACAAAACCAATGACTTTCGACCAGTATGAGCAGCCTAGCGTCTTATTTCGTCTTATGTCTGCCTAGCCCGTTCACTTGAGTCCAGAACACAAACATTAGCTTCCGCAATATGAAGCATTTATGTCAAACATACTCGGTTTATATATCAACCAGACAGACCACAGCGTACCATAAAATAAGAAATAACATTTGTGCAATATTTGACCAAATGTGGCTGTGAACGTGGGAGGCAGTAGTCAATAATCTGAACATAGCTTAAGAACCGTAATTCGTACAACAATAAAATATAGGTCAAAATAAAACTTATAATAAGAGGAATATAAATATACATAATCTAATTATTGAATAGTTGTACCATAAGAATGTATAGATAATATTAGTCAATTAATATGTCTCAGGAGTTACTCGTGACTTAATCTTCGCTCGGATATAACAGTGGACATTTTTTTCTATCGTAATTCAAATCAGTATAATATGACTATGAGTGTTCAGTAGAATTGATTCATTTCAACAAAACATTAAATGTAATAACACGAGCACATTAGTAATTTAGTAGTATAAATGCTTTCCATATGAATACTATGAAGAGCAATGATGTTTCGTATATTTCAGGAACATTATTAAGTGTATGCAAAAAGGTATTTTTAAACTATTTTCGTATAAAAGCTTTTACTAAACTAACATTAGTAAATAATGAAGTTTATTCTGAAAACGTTAACCATTCACATAGAATGAATTAATAATTATACATATTCACTCTTGGGTTGATAACTTGATAGTATTTGTTAACTTAAACAGATAATTAACGTAGAAAAAAGAATCAAGTAATTGAGAAATGTAACTATAATAAGTAGTATACGTTGATAATCGGAATACACTTTGTAATTAATCTGAAACAATTTGGATAAACCATTTTTAAAATCAGTTTATTTTTGATACCAAACACTTATTTCTAGGTTTATTGTGATAATTTCCTTGTTAAAATAAGTTGATAAATAAACTCAAATGTAAATTAGTGTGTTTATCATTGTTGTACAAATGTGTGTATTTAAGATTATTATCAGAAGGCGGTTTTGTGGAGATTTTAGTAATTTAATGGTTGAATTCATAAGTCAGTTAAAGCAAGACCACCATGGATAACCTGGAAGCACTGGACGGCCGTTTCGTCCTAGCGTGGAACTCCTCAGAAGTGCGCATCTACGATCCCGCCAGCGTGATTCGAACCCTGAACCTATCAGTCATATCGCGAATGCTCAACCACTAGATTATCAAATGAAACACGAATGTATATTATTGTGTAACTTGTAAACGTGTATATTGTAATCTACAAACATTTAACATCACAATGAAGGCATTAGAATTTCAGAATCTTAAAATTGGAAAAAAGACAGTTGTCGTATTTATTACTGATACACTTGGAATAAGTATGAAATTAACTTCTTTGATGAACATTCAACGAGTTCTTCACGTTGTACGAATATGATTTAGCAAAGTACTTTGGCATTTCCTGAACACATTTAACAATTGAATATAGCTTCTATCATCGAATGATAGCTTGTGTCATAAGTGACTAAAAATCAGGGAACAGACGTTTCATTCTAAGCAGAAATTATATATTATTTTCCATGATTTAAATTATCTCGAGGCAGACATACACTATCGTTCAGTTGGTGGATTGAAATTAAAATACAAATGCATTCATGGCATGTCTAGACCATCATCTTTGAGATCTGATATTCACTTCAGAACTAAGATGGTTATTCTGTGATTTCATCAGATAATTGCTGCAGTATACTGTTCATGAGTAAAGTTAGATGTTAAGTGTTTTTTTAGTGATTCACTTCTCAAGCAGTAGCATGTGGTTAGTAGAATGTAAGTGTTTTATGTTCTCAGACAGTAAAGATAGTCAATGAGTTTTGAAGAGGAACAGTTCCAATGAGCGTTTTACATTCCTTTTTTAAACTTATCATAAATTTTATTTTATATAGCTAAGCATAAATTATTACCTACTTACTTACACCTGTTAGCCCGCGTGGAGAAGCCTATGCCGTCCATAAGGATTCTCCATCAATCTATGCATAAATAATGCTTCCAGAATATCCAGAATAGAGCCTATATTATTTTATTTTATAGTCTTCGTTTACCGTTGATATTTGGCAAAAGTAAATTTACACAAAAATGAATAGTTGTGTTTGGTACACTTGATTTATCAGAGACATACGAACGACAAGATTACGAAAATTATCACACAGAAACTAAAATGAGTTGAGTAAAGTGATTGAAAAAGGTATATATTTATATTCTACACGATGCAATTTTTCAATCCTCAATGAACCACGTTTTTTTTATCAGCTTGAAAAAACACTTCAAGCTATTCAAATATTGGTTATATTACTCATGAGTAACGACAATCTGTGAGTTATAAAACCAGTTTCATTAATTATAGGCGCAATCTTAGCAATCCATTTTTTTGTTTCAGACACTAATCTTCTGTTTGACTAGAGCTTATATTTTGTAAAATGGAGGATACATTAAAGCATCTTAAATGATGTTGTCACATTGCTCTATGGAAGAAAGGAAACCTATTAATTTATTTTTAGTCTAACTAGTAACAAAAAAAATATCTCCGAAATCTGATTGCTACAATAAGCTGTTTTCTTGTTTAATAACTTCAAAGTCTACGTGTATGTTTGTATAAAAAAAAGAGAGAGGGTGTATAGGCATAACTTTTAACGCGATGATTTTTAAAAGTTGCTTAACCAGTGGAAAATTTTGCTCTTATGTTTTATATGAATTAAGACTTTATTTTCAAAACCTTTAGACAAACAACCTGACAAATGATTTATATGACTGCTTTTTGTTCAACTGTCATTAATTTTCTTTTTCTACCTAAACTCACTGTTCAACCGAAAAATTTCATACTGAAAGGAAAAAAACAAACAAACAGATAAATATATTTTAATAAGGGAACGATCTAAAATGCAAGATAAAATGGAGAAATTAGATGTAATATATTTGCAGTACCCAATTTTCGTCAATAATAACTTCCATAGGTACTTCATAATAATATCAGATGGTCATAGTGGCAACCAAGTCAACTATTTTCCGAGCGCCGAAATCAAAATTAAAATTAATTATCGTTACATACGGTAAAAGTTTTATTATGATCATACATGAATGACGATCACTGTTAAAATGAAACTGATTATAGGCGGGGTGAGGCTCTGTCAACGTAAGGGATTTTGGTTAAATGTTATAATAGCTAACCCATAAACCTCGGCTACCACTTCTAAAAGTTGTCAAGTATTAGACATAAGCTTATGATGTTAGTATTGCCTATTAGATAATAATCAAATATGTACGGAGTTTAAAAGCTTTATTCGTACTTAATAATAATATTTATATAATATAGTGGATTAATCATCTATATTTTAACTGTTTTTCACTTTATATATAACAATTCAGGTCTTCGGCCATTTATTTGTCGTATATGTTCCAAAGCTTTCAAGCATAAACACCATCTAGCAGAACATAAACGTTTGCATACTGGTGAAAAACCATTTGAATGTCAAAAATGCGGTAAACGTTTTAGTCATTCCGGATCATATTCTCAACATATCAATCATCGCTATAAATATTGTCAATCATAAATCATGTTCAACGTGCCAATGGTTTTGATCAATAACCTGGTTATTTTTTAACTTTTCTTTTTCTATGACAATCTAGAGAATGTACAAGTTGTGATTGATTTATTTGTCTTGGCTTCTTTAATTTAATACTTTGGTTTTAGTTTAACACTGATCATGTTGTTCATTTCCCAAATATTTTTCAAAAATTCTTAAAATTTTAAATTAAAAAATTAACTACATTTCACAACATAGAACTTTTGTCCCAGTTACTGACTGAATGGTGTAATTTCAAGAGGTTTGACTTTAAATGACATGCGTTTGTGTTATTCTTCCTTTCCAAGTATTTAAATATTAAGTATGAAGAGATGAAAAAGATTCCATTCGTTCTTTATTTCTCTTTCGATTATTACATATTTCGCAAACTTATGAAAACCGTGGGCTGGAGAATAGAAAAAAGACGTATTCTTTAATATTTTCTGTAATCTACTTCTTATTCAGCTTATCACTCCTCTAATTCTTCCCCTCCAAATTTATGATGTGTTTTGTCTTTTTTTTTCAGTAACCTTCAATATTGGATAGAACATTAGAACAGAACAATACAGATGTGATAATGCTCAATTACATAAATATTTTTTGTACAGTTATTGCCTACTAACCTCACATTCTTTATATTACGGTCTAATCAATGCATTCAACTTTTTCCCCTTAGACTTCTACCACCAAATACATTATCGACAATTTGTACCGAGTTAATATCGGTTCCTAGTTAGATGTATTCAAATAAATGAGTGCATTTTTTGTGACAAAAACTTACTAGAAACAGAACAGAAATGGGCAAAGGATAAATGTCTGAAACAGAATTATTTCCGTACATTTATGTTTCTCTCATTTCAAAATGAACAATGAAGAAAAAGAATACATGATTAGTGTATAGTTTTCGTTTATTTTTTCCGAGTTTTGAAAAAAACAAACAACAACTGCGAATCAAATGATTTTGTATTCTTGAATGTAATTCAGACTTTTTTTCAAAATTCTAATATAAACTACACTACTAGTATGTGACTTTAATGTTGAATTGTATGAATTATTTAGTGACATGGTCAGACGAATAGTATAATTATTAATATTAGACTTCAAGGAATAAAACAGCCGGTTTTGTAATTCTCCCAATTCATCTACGAAAATTATGATAATTATACAACAATATAATTTTTGAGTTGAATATGAAAGAGACTTACTAGAATGATTATTTAACTCCAAAATCTTCAGATTACATATGAAGTATCCATGATGAATGAAATAGATGATAAAAAAGTGAGATAAGACTTGTTTTCACAATTTTATTATTCACCAAACTATGTAAATAGTTTTCTGTACAAGGTGAATTGGTGAACATTTCACATGATATAGGTTTCTAAAGAGTTAACCTCTTATTACTTTCATTTATCCAACCACTTTTACATCAAGGGTTGGTCTCAGTTTAACAAACATTAAAAATTGGAGAGCATAGAACAGCTTTTTTGCAATGGTATGAGAATCCTATGCAGTGAGCACTCATAATTTCACAAGGGCTCGAAATCTGGACCTTCAGGCCTCATGATAAAACTGTAATCTTCAAACCACGGAGTCAACATTCACTAGTTCAACTACAATCAATTCACGATAATTTGCTGACTGTGAGATAGGTCTTTATCATTTACATAGTGAAATAATTGAATACTACCTCAAATTAATTTAAACAAAACACAGAAATTACTGGATATAATTAATTTAAAGTTTACGGGCTTACCACGAGATATAAAGGTCCTGGTTTCGATTTCAGGTTGGGTGAAAGATGCTGTCTGGTGAGAATTCTCCTACCTGGACGAAACGGCTGTCCAGTACTCTTCGATTTTCAGTGGTCGCTTGATTAAAATCAGTCAAATTATAAAAACGTAATGAAATTGGAAAAGTTCCCTAGGTACCATTTTTCGTGGCACAGATCGCTTACCAGTGATTTTTGATTGGTTCTATCCTCATCCTTCATTCGATCTGTTATCAAGTTCTATTTGTGGTCTTGATATCTTCTACCGACTCCCAAACCCACACATTATTTGTCGATAAATAATGCACTATGTAGAATTCGCCGTGAAAACATTTGTAGCACATGTCCAAGCCACTGAATTTGGTGTTCCAAGATGGTTACAATGACTGAATTATTATCATCGTGTTCGAACCTCTGAATCACTAGCATGGCATTGCCATGTATATCATTGATACTTCTCAGATAAGGAAAAGCTTCCTGCACTACCTGGACCACACCGTCAAGTGTGATTCGGTAGATCCTCATTGTGTCGCATTTCTAAATCTTGCTGTTTCCCTTGTGATCATGGGATTCACTTTTATGGAGTCCCCACTCACTCGAACTATCGACGTCTGAACTGGTTTCTGTGTATACGGTAGGAAGTCCAATTCATCTGTAAACTATAAATAGTCTAGTGGAGTTCAAATTGCCCACTACATTCCTCGTTTCTCTCGAGATGTCGAACTCTTCATCATCCAGTCAGCAACCAGAACGATGTGGAAAGGAGATAGTAGACAATGCTGTCTGATACCATTCCTCACTTGAAACACACATGTGATCTGTGCACCATCCAACACTTTGCGATTCAGTTGGTCTTCAGAGTTCCGTATGATGGTGACGATCATCACATACACTCCATGATGCCGAAGAGGATTCCACAAGGCTTTCCCGTTCACACTGTTGTATGCTTCCTCACTATCAAGAAAGTTGACTCACAGGAATGAGTTCCATCCAACTGATTTTTTAACAATGATCCTCAGTGTCACGATATGGTTAGTAGACGACTGATCCTTGAGATAGCCATCTTGCTGATCTCAAAGCTTAGCATTTATCGAGTCCTTCGTTCACATTCATTCCAATTATTATTACCATATTGTTTACAAATTCTGAATTCTAGCTAAATCCTTGATGTTGTTGAGTCTTTTAATAACTGTCTTATTTTTGTTTTGCTTAACATACTTTTATAGAGGTCGCCATTTGGACTGCTATACTTTGGTTGATACTTTGTGAACTTATTCATTCTATTCTATTTGGTTGATTGTGAGGCACGTTCCCTGCTTGTTTTAGGGATATTTAATATTAATAACTGTCAATTAATTGTGATCCTCATATAATTATTATTTTGTAGCTGATTGCCTATCTTGGTAGCAAACTGCATCAACTTACTCTTTTTCTTTAGGTAGAATACTGTTCCTTGACTGATAGGACTATTTTTTCCAATTGTGATGATTGGGCTTTATCAAGTGTCTGTACCAGTTGGAAAATGTACCGTTCAAGTGCCATCAGTTTTATTCGTATTTACTTTTTTTTCTATAGTGCCTCTTCTGCATATCTTCTGAACCATTATAAGCATCTTCCAGGTTATTACAAGGAAGTTATAAGCTATTATCGCTTTTTTGAATTATTAAGCTACAGAGAGCATGACTGTCATACTATCAATGTCACAGACACGTTGAAGCAGTTCAAATTCTTGATCTTACAGCACCGAACGTCTTTTATCTAACTGTTTTCTTTTGGTTATTGAACGACGGTGTTCATGGCTGGGCCGGGTGGGTTAACCAACTATAAGCAGGTCACTTTGTGCTATTTCGATGTCTGGTAGGTTCAATAGTGCTAGTTTATTCAAAACTTCATCAAAGTACTCTATCAGCCTATCCGCTACTCCCAAAACTCAGTGATTGGTTTGCCTTTCTTAATCTTGACTGGTCGCACTTATCTACCGAATAATCCCCCACGCTTATTCGTATTAGCAATTATGACAGTGAAAATCAGCATTATACTCAAAGGAAACAGTTTAAATTAGTGTGAGTCAAACAAAGTGTACATAACATTTCAATAATATTTCACTAATACTAAAAACATTTAAGCTAGCAACCAGCTGGTGATAATCTGAAGTTATTAGCTCTTTGATCATTTTTTAGTTGATTTTCATAATGGTGTTTTCTTCAAGTAGATCATATTGATCTTGAACCTAGTTGTTGAGAACTACCTTAGATTTGCTGAGTTCTTAGCATCTCAAAGGAAGGCTGTATTAAACCTTTATACTACTGTTTATTCAAATATTCAACACTTCTCCATTTTCAATTTTGGATTGACCACAACCAGGTGTTGGTCTGAAATTACACCACCTTCTCTCTTTCTCCTTACGTCTTCCATGATCCTTCTGAATATTTTACTTGTCCATATCTAGTCGATAGGATTGACTGCCATGTTTTTTGGTCAAACCCATGTACCTTAGTGTGTGCAATTGTGGGGAAAATGGTAACATACAAAACCATGTTGTTGAAAGTGCATAGATCTATCGGCCTCTCATCATTCTCGTTCATTTCTCCAGTCCATGTCACCCTATGACGCACTTATATATAGTGCTACTCATCCAGATGTTAACGTCATGACTGTTGGTCGACTGCTATGACTGAGTTACCGATTGTTATATCTGGTCGTCGCTGAGTGTTATGTCGGAATCGCTTATCACGCATACTTATAAAGAGAGGAACCACTGCAATTCTCACGATGAGAAAGTAAGAACACAAAGACTGATACAAGTGAAGACTTATTAACCCCAAAACACGACGACGACTCCAGTCGAAAATACACTCATTTCGATTAATAGTTAGGATAAAATCACATGAAAAATACTTAGTTTTAACAAATCATATGTTACATGATATGTTGACCATACTTCATGTTAATTTAATACAAGAATATCGTATGTTATACAGAATAAAATATCACACGGAAAAACAGAAACAAATACTACATTGAGTAATCATCAGATTGAATTAAAATGGAAGTAATGTTGAACAAAAATCATGATGAGTAAATCAATCTAATTTTAACTTTTCATCCCGTCATATCAGTTAGTGTTCGGGTCGTCCATCCCAATGACTAGGTAGTTACTTGGGTATTTCTACAGGATTAACTACAGTCTCCCATAAAACTGGTTTCTGTCACATTCACCTCCATCGTTCATAGGTGCATATCAATGAATCACATTCATTCCGGTCCTTCCCTTCTTTGTTCTGAAGGATCATACGAAGATCCTACAGTCATGAGTTTCTCATCCGAAAAGTGCTATTGGTGATTCAGTACAACCCCATATGTGTGTGAGCATATTCCTCTTCATAAACAAAATACAACAGCATCTTTCCAGAAACTAGCATTTTCTGTTCAGTTTGCCTCCGACATGTTATGGTTACGCCAAACATAGTCACCTTCTATCTTCTCATTTCCTATGTTGTTCAGATGACCCTCTCAGTCTCCCGAGTTGTTCGGAAATTCTACACACGCTTATTGTTGTCTTCATCGTCAGAGGATGCATCGTGTTCGTGGCATCTGAAGTATCTCGGCTCCTATAATGAGGCGTCATAACCTTTCCATAGGGACATCATCCAGATCCTAAAGCAGTGTCCAAAGACTCTAAATGATTTATCCTGGTTATCGTTTGTTTAGCAAATTCGTCTTTATGAGGTGGTGTTGTTAACAACACTTCCAACCCTCCTGTTTCCAGCGAGTTTGGCATTGACAGAGATCAGAGAGGGGCTTCGGATGGAGTTCGCTGTTTTTTCCGACACTATATACACTCGATGGACTATTGAGTTCAAGTTCGTGTATGGAATCACAGATTGTGTACAAGATAAATTTAATATTCGATGAAGTAACTAAACAACATAGTCTAGGATGAGTAGTTTCCATTCCATTTTTGCTTACTAGGTTCAAAAGTAATGTTGAGTAACATAGAAAGACTTTGAGAAACGATCCAAATGCTCGGAAGTGTAAATGATAAAAAATGGAAGGAATGTTAATTTAATGAGGTAAATTAGATAAAAATCTGTAGGCTATCAAGGTTGTATCAGGTAGATAGCAATAATCGTTGTTGAGAATAGTAACATCTCCAGCAGCACGATTTCTGATATTAATTTTTGTATACAATTGTTCAATACTGCATGATTTTCAGTGGTTCATTAGTTGGTGTCGGTTCGTGTCGAAAACAAACTTCAAAT